ATTTTGCTCCGTTCTGTATTAGTACATCAAATTTAAGTGTTCTTCTCCTTTAATTGTATCTTCAGTTCCTTCTGGTTCCCTCTAGTGTCCTACCTTCAAAGTCTCATCCTATCATCTTTTTTTAAAAGAGAATCCAAAACAAAAGCATTTTCCAATGAGAAGGATTCTTATAATTCCAAAATCTTATTTCAAATCCATCTGGATCCTTAGTCCGTTTGTAACTTTCCAAAATCAAAGTTCTAATCACCCTTTCGCTGTTTATTCCAAAATAATCTTTTAGATCCTTAAACTTGTATTTAAAACGTCTTTCGCTAAAGATTTATTTATTTATTTATTTATTTATTTATTTATTTATTTATTTATATTTCAAATTTGTCACTGCCTATCTCTGTGGGGTGACACTGGGAGGTTTACAGTAAAAATAGAATAAACATTAATTAAAATAGATAAAAATTAATTAAAATATGCTAAAAATCAAACTTCCTTTATGATACTTCCAAGACACTGATGTTAATTAGGTGTTAATAAACTCAGGGAGCATCTTCAAGGGGCCAGCCATCCCCCAGGTCATATTTATTTAAAGTATTAAAGTATTTAAAACTTCTTCCACTAAAGACTGAAGAAAACTCACCCAGTGCTGTAAAACATATCGATCCAGATATTCCTAATAGCTGAAAAGCAGTTAACAAGCAATTTCTGGAAGTGATTAGAAAAAGGAAGTATGCAAACCCAGTGGCCTTTTGAAGGTGCCAACCATGGTTTGAGCAAAAAGATGATTATTCCCTCATCTCCCAGAGCTCTAAACCTGCCGGAAAATGCTGTCTTGGAGTCTTCTCATGAGAAGCAACTGTATGGAGCACTTGTGGGTGATCTCAAGTCCTCTCCTTGTCCAGAGAGGAATTACAAAGAGCTAGTCTACTTGCCTTCTAGTGGAGCCATCTTCAGTTCACCATTTCTTCCCTAGAAGTTCCCAGTTTATCTTCCATCTTGAGCAGATCATAAATCAATGGTTTATCTTCCCAGTCCTGAGACAGGGAGTTTCTCTCAATTCTGGTGAAGTAAAGGGATGGTACCTGTCTGGAGAAAAACTTGCTGGGCCATCAACCAGCAACCTGTAGATCCCTTGGGTATTAGGCAATTATTAGGCAACTGAATGATCAAGCTGACTTGATGCTGAAGTTATAAAATTTATATGAAATCATAGTCTTACATGAAGTGTAGATGAAAAATTCTACACCAGCTTTGTAAATTGCACCATGCTTTGTGAGGCATACTGAGACTTATGATCTCCCCAGCCCAGAAGAATTTGAGAGGAGCAAAATATGTGCTGGCAGGCTGCATCCAGCCTGCAGGTTGCTGTTTTTGCACCCAGGACTTAGAGCTACAGTAAAGATCTAAATAACTAAATCCTGGCCCTGAAAGCAAGCGCAGATAAAATAAGGTTTTATTTGCCTATTTGCCTGCTTCAGTAAAATCTAATATCTCTTACATGTTTTATTAATCCTAGGCAAACTTGTATCAGGGAAAAATATGTTTGTGTAACCAGTTCTATAAACATTTAATTTCCTGTGGCACTATAATTCATTATCTGATTTCTGGTTTCCAAGCAAAGGCATGTTAACAAAGGTGATTTTAGTAGGATGGCCATGTGTCCTTTAGGGAGAAAACTGGAGGTCTCTGAACATCTGTCATAAGACAGCCTACTCTTTGAAGGGCTCTCCAGTCCAAGTGTGGCTTAGATGAGGAATTTTAAAAGGGCATTGCTTCTTGACCTGAAATTGTTCAACCAAAGTTAACACCTGAGAAAGCTAACCAACTCTGACTCTTTCTAATTTCTTTCACCACATTTATATATATTGTATACATTAACATATACAAAATATAGCAAAATTCGCCTATTTTTGCTTGTTTTATGATGTACCTTGGCCTCCCTAGCTTAATGTGTTCTCCTCCAATAATTGAGTATACTGTATAAACAGTTAAAACAGTGTTTCTCAACCCTGACAACTTTAAGATGCGTGGACTCCAACTCCCAGAATTCTCCAATCAGCTTGCATAGTGGTCTCTCATTTAAGTGCTAACCAGATCTAATCCTGCTTTGCTTTTTGAGATCAATCAAGGAGGGCTAGGTGTTACAAAGTCCTTGGCCTTTCCTCTACAGCCTTCCCATATTTTATCATCAGTGTTGCTGGCTTTTCTCTTATCACAGAAATGCTGTTAAGGTAGAAAGATAAAATAGGTATAAGTGTTTATTCATTTGGGATTGCTAGGATATTCCATTTGGAAGCTCCCTGTGTTGCTTTGGTGCAACATGCATGAATGCATGCATACACACACACAACAAACAAACATATGCTTGGCATGGAACTGGAGCTTTTGCAATAAATGTTAGTCAAAGGTGATAGCTAACAAATGGGCATGCTAATTCAACAACACTGATGGTAATATAGGAAATATTTCCCATGCCAAAACAATTGCTTCTGCTATCCAGCTCTAAACTGTCAATGTGGTTTCTTCCAGATTCAATTTTTTTCCCTGCTTACCTAACACAACCAATAACCTAATCTTCTAGAAAGATACAGAAAATACTTCACTTTCCTACAACAACGCACTCCTAGAGATCAGGCTTGTAAAACAAGGAGATACTTAAAATTTACCTCCTTATCTTAATTAACTTTAGCAGGATTGTGGTAAATATGTCCAGTATTTCACAGCCCTGTTTGTCCCCATTCTGTGGCTTTTTTGGGTTGGTCCGACTTCTGGCTACATTGGCTGCAGCCCTTGGATGCTGCCAGGAGGGGGCGCAGAGAAGGGAGGACTCAGCTGCAACCTGATTAAAGGAGACTGTATAGGCCCGCAGCTCCTCCCAGCATTCACTCCATCTGTTCCTCTGCTCAGGTTGGTTGATTTCCTTTGTTAGCCAAAGAAACTGAGAACCTCCTGGGGCTGCAATATAATGCTACCTCTTACAGAGACTCACTGATAATTCACAAAGCTCTTGTGCAGCAGACTGAAGTGTTCCTGAAGGCAGCTGAGTTACAATTGTCAATGTTCCCAGCAGCACTCAGAGGTGTCCACCTTTACTTGAGCCTGTAAGTGTCTCTTTTCCTTATGAACTTGGTATGGTGTAGCATAAGAGGCAAGGGAGCAACAGCAGAACCAGAAAAGATATGGTGAGAGGAACAAATAACTTGGACTCAAACTTTTATGTGGAGGGCTATGTTGAGGACTACTGTAGGGGTTGTCAACCATGCCTCTCTAACCTGGGAGCGCTCCAGATATACTGGGATTATGTCCGATCACTCCCAGCTAGCGTGGCCATTATCTCCAGAAGACACCAGATTTGAAAAGGCTGGTCTACAGAGAAGTAGCCAGATGGCAAAAGGAAGCTCCAGTTCTTAAAAATTTTCTGCCAAAGCCAGGGCTGCAACAACTTCAAGCATTATTTCAAAGAAAAGAAAACAAGGTGGTATGAAAGGATTTTAGGATCATAAGGAGCTGAATTTCTGCTTTACAGCTATTCTCCCTGGCCATGATGATCAGAATTAATTACTGTGAGTAATGTCAGTATAAAGCACGATGTTGTATTTATCACCTCCATATCTAGTTATAATTACTAAGTCATTTACATTCCTATCTATACTGGCATCTGGATACCAATGTAATAAAATGATCTAGGCTAAAAAGAGTAACCTGTTTACATGAAACTATATATGTTGTAGCATTTAATGTGTAAATGCTTCATATAGCAGGCATATAGGAGGACGTTGGTATTGCAGAGTTCAGAGAATCTGTGGGTTGTTCACACCTTCCATCTGTTCCTCCAGTTACAGGGGGGAGCCTAATTAATTAAGGCCCAGGGGAACAAAGAAACTTTCTGTGGGTTTTGCTCCTGGACTGCAGTTCCCTGATTCAGCAATCATATGGTAGAACTGAGAAATCTCATAAGTGCAAGCAGCATGATAATAGCTGTTGCCTGGATCTCACAAACTCACAATCCACTTTCCAGAGTAGCCATAGAAGCAATGACGTCAGTGGAGGCTTCAATTTCTGTAATAACTACTTTCTCATGTACCAGTAGTTAGAACTTTATTCTTTATTGTGTCACAGAAAAATGGGGTAATAATCAGTTATGATCACATCAGTTCTCCTCAGATGCTCATGTTACCTACCATAAGTAGCAGCAGTTCTTGTATCTTGATTAGTGATGATGAAGAAGAAAAGAATTCTCTTTCATGTATTTCAAATATGTTTAGAATATATGTGCATAATTAGGCAATTTTAGAGTCTGGACATAATGGTCTTATTTACTATTACTTCTTTACAAGGAAATGGCAGTATTTTTATGCCAGACATTGTTTTAATCTGCTAAGGCAGGAACAAACCAAGTCAATCTTCCTTAGGAACAAAGTAATCATGGTTTGTAATGCCAATTTTCCATTTGTTTTGTTTCTTCTGCCAACACTAAAAAAGAAATAAGTAAAACACAACTGAGAAGAATTATGAATTCTGATCATGACTTAATGAAATTAATTAATTAATGAAATGTCATGATTAAAAAGTGCTAACATTCATAAAGAAGCAACCTATGTTTTCATGTTCTGGATTGTTCTTGGGATGGGTTTGAATATAACTTTGACGAAAATAGGATACATTATAATTCACATTATATGCAAAACCTGTAAGATCTCCCCCAAATTGAATTTGACGGTTGGTGACTCAGTGGACAAGTCTATGTAGGTATTTATAGCCAAACATCATATGGCAGTCTTGCTGTCTGGCAGTGTGTGGGGGGCGTGGGTTCTGCCCTGAAGCACTGTGATATCTAATGATTGTGTTTAACCTGCTTATTGAATTAATCCAATTTTTAGGTTTGCACAATATATAAGGAATCAAGCTAACCAGATTCTGGTCAGAAAAAATAGAACCAAGATTAACACTAAGTAAGCTTAGTATTTTGTACTAGGTCATCTGACCAAATTAAGTGTGTTATGTGAGCGGAGACGTTTGGCTGTGAGCACCACCAGATCTAAGCCCATTCACAAGTATGGCCCTGTTATACAATCCTAGGTGAGATTTTCAAGGCTGCTTTTTCTGATGAGGCAGGGGAAAAAAGATGAAAGTTTTTGAAAGTCAGGCTGGTTTACAAAACACCACAGTTGGGGGTAATTGAGTTGTCTGGGCAAAAACCCACCTCTTTTATATCACTTTGAGACCTTTTCTTCTAGTCTGACACCTTTCCTGGAGCTATTTATTAATCTAATCCCTTCCATGTTGTGCTTTCACGTAAATGGCCTCTTTCGATTGTCATGGTAACTGTGTCATGTGAAGTAGATAAAATGGCAAGAGGTTACAGCAGACTGCCAGTCAGTGATGTTTGTAAATAATACTTAATGGCCATGCTTTGTGTGTGTCTTTTAATTATTTATTTTATTTATATGCATTTTGCTCTCTATTTTCTATCTTGTTTCTAAACTCAGATGAATCATTCTAAAAACTGAATTTACTAGAATATAAATTCAATTTAAGTTACATTTAGTTTTGTCCTGTCCCTTCTACTTCTTGTGAATCCACTTTTAAGGTGTAGCCCATGGCACACTATTCAAAGCCCAAGGACATTTCTTGAGTAACAAAAGAATGCATACTACTTCAGATATATCCTACATATAAAATCTGACCAAGAATTACAAATTACTCCTGCTCCAAATGCAGGAGATAATGTTTCTCTGATCAACCTTCCTTGGCACATTAAAACTTTTCCATTAATAGCTGCCATTTCAAATATAATATCCTTGGAAATAGGAGCTTTGCTATAGCTTTTTGATTATTGAAAAACTGGAATAATTACACACAGAGGTGACCACAAAGGGGAGGGGGCGGCAAATTATGACAACAGTGTCACAATACAGCTCCACCCCTTTGTACATGTGTTGTGGCATCACATGCATGTATAAACAAGGCAGAGCTCATAGCACATTTTAACGAAAGCCCCCAATCTTGTAGGCCCCTCCAACTACTGTACAACAAAGGTAGGAATGTCAGAGTGTCAGCTGAATTAAGAACTTTTTAGAAATACAACTTATTGTGCAATAAATATGCAACATTACTTTTTTCTCCAGCTTTAGTCCACCTACCAAACAAAACTATCAAACTTGCTTATAATTCAATTGTCATTCAATTTCTAGTTTTTATTCAGGTGTTACAGAAAACTACATTGCTTCACTCTTGCTGGCAGGATTATTTATCTTGCTAGCAGGATTAGCTGCAGTTGCTAAGTGGAAAATCACATGACCGTGATGGACTTACAACATCACTTCCCATTCAGTTATTAAGCAAGTCACTGTGGTCATTAAGCAAAACATCACGTCACCACACTTTATGATTTTACTTCCACATTCTCCATTAACTCTGTTTGTTGCAAGCAGGTTGGGAAGCACATAAATGGCAATCACATCTGTGGGATGCTGCGACAGTTATAAATCTGCACTGGTTGTAAAGTGCCTGAGTGGCAATCGGTGACCGCAGCATGCTGCTACGGTCACAGATATGAGGATTGATCGCAAAGCTGATTTTCTTTACACAGTCATAACTTCAGTCACCAAATGAGGGAGCCAGTAAGCAAGGACTGCCCATTAAGCAAGGACTACTGTTATGGTCCACACCTTGATGTAAACAAGATGGGGGGCAGTAAAACTCTTATAAGAAAAGCAACAACAAAAAATTCAGCCAAAGGGTAATACACTGGTGTGTTATACAGTATTTGTAAGGGACTTATATTTTGTCTGTATTTCCTACCTACCTATCAAATTCTCTGTGTGACTCCAAGTTTGAAAGAGACTTCCCTCCAAAGAAGGGGGGGGGACCCTAATCAGGCTTGCTTGGTATTAGAAACTTATAATGGAATTTTTGGAAAATGACCAAGGAAATATTTGCAGATTTTGTACCACTTGGAATCTTAATTCCATTTATCTGAGAGTTTAATGGGACTTTGGAGGATTTATCTATGGGATTGAACTAAGACTGGATTAATACATTACACTTGTTTGTTTCAAATCTGGTTTGTTAAGTCATAGTTGGCAACCATAAATCATGGTTACTAATTCCAATCCTTGAGTTCACACATCATGGTAAGCCAGGCTCAAACAAACAAATATATACAGTACTTCACATTCAAAGGGGAAAAGGTGCTCTGGAGCCTACAATGGTGCTGGATCCCAGTTAAAGATGAGTTTAGTTTCAGGGGTTGCCAAACAGAGCTACTTGTGTATCCATGTGCACTTCAGACATATTTTTTCCCTTTGGCTCTGCCCAACCTATCAGTAATGGAGTGGGAACTACCAAGCAGGAAGTCTCAAGAGTTGCGTGCTGGACTGGGATGCTGAATAAAAGAAAAACTTCCTGGAGGAAGGCTTTCATATGGTTGCCCAAACCCCCTACACTTTCCCAGGGAGTCTCTCCCTTAAGCCCCACTGATTTCAGTCCAACTGGACCAGATGAGGTCTGTGCAGATTCAGGAGGTGTGGGGAGAGATGAGAAAAGAGCTGTTGGGGAAAGCGAAATTTGCTGGGACATCAGCGTGAGAGGAGCGGAGGCAGCGAGACTGGTCAGAAGGCTCCTTAGCAAGGGTTGGCCCTTGCAGAAAAGGCTTTCCTATCGCCTTTCCCCACCATTTCTTCTGCCCTTCTCCGCACATTCGAGAAGGGACAAGGAGCAGCCACAGTGCACCCGTTCTTTCAGTGACGGCGCTGGAAGCCCTGCGAGAGGCCGGCTGGAAAAGCCGCTCCAAAGTTGGCGAACAGACAAGAGCAGCAGCGGCGGCGCCCAGACGGGGCTGGAGCGAGGTGGGTCAGAGGCTGGGCCGGCGCTCAACGAGCGGCGGGGATGGATCGTCAGAGCTGGAAAAAGCGGCAGAAGGAAGGCGCGCTTGAGGCACGGGGGGAGCCTCGGGGATCTGCTTCCGCGAGACTACCTCGAAACTGGTTTCCGCGTTTCGATCAACACTTCCTTCGTCAGGCGGACACGGCTGTGCGGATGTTTCGCCAATGGCCCACGGGAACGTTTCCCGTCGAGTGGGTTTTAGTCCGCTGGTGGGCTGCGTGTTCTGGGCCACGGCCAGTGCTAAGTGGAAGTCGCCGCCTCTGCCTCGCCGAGGACGGGGTAGATGAGGAAGGCGGCATCAGAGGCTCGGAAGGCGAAGCTCGGCTCTGTCCCCAGGGAAGTCTCCCCTCGGCTGTCTGAGGCTGGAGCTCAGGGAGAGCGAGGAGAGAACCGGCCCGGCGGAGAACGAACTGCTGCGTCGCGGGAGAGCAGCCGTCAAGGTCTGCCCGCTTTGGGCACGCCGGCGTGCCTCGAAAGTAAGGATGGTCTGGAAGAGATGCCCGTTCCGATGTCGCGCTTAGCCCACGACAGGGTAGGCCGCTCTCTCTTCTGCGCTGAAGTGCACGAGTCTCGCGTGCATTTTCGCTATTTTCTGTTCAAGTCTCTACACGCGTTTCTGGGTCGGCATAACAATTAAATCAAGAAGCGGAGAGGCGAGGCTTGCGCCGGGGCTGGGCTCCTGGGTGAAAACACCGAAGAGCGCTTTCTTCTGTCGCGAGCAAAGCGGTTGCGGTCGAAGTCCTGGGAGGTTCCCCGGAAGGGCGGCGGGCAAACGGTGCATTTTCGGATTGCTCATCGCACGGAGCCGGAGGCACAGATGCGTCGCTGTACTCTGAAGGGGGAAGTTGACTAAATTCAGTTGCAGTTTCTCCAAGTAAGTGAACATTTGTCCTTTTTTAGGTTTCCTAGCTCTACTTCTTTTCCACAATTACAAAAAAGCTCTAAAATACACGTTCTGTTTCTAAATGTGTCAGCTTCCCTTCAACAATTGCTATCTCAGGGTTAAAAATCTCTGGGATGGGGTAGGGCATTTGTTTATCACTAATTGTTTAAACTTTGACTGGGATGCTTAGATCATCAGGGTCAAAGTTACTTTTCTGACACAGAGATAGATATGGGCTTATTCACATACATTCTAAGGAGTGCAAGATAAGTGGCTGACTTGGCATAGATGTCCGGCTGCCTTGATTTATATATTTTCAGTGGACCTGTTAAAGGAGCCCATAAAGGAATTACTTATTATCAGGATCTACTGTTGACTTTGAATGTTGACTCATATAGTTTAGTCAGTCTGGTCAAGTGCTTAGATATAGCACTTGATAAGACACTGATCCTTCTGTCACTGCTCTTTATGAGAAGCTTATTCAGAGCCTACCAAAACTGATTACAAGTTAAAACCATCAATCTTCCAGTTGATCTAAGCAGAACAACTCTGATAGGGACTTTTAGGATATATAAAGCCAGTTCCTCTACTAGGACCGTGGGACTGCTTCTCGAGATTAAAAAAAGTATAAAAACCCTTTTGAAAGATAAAAAGAGGGCAGCCACACAGAATATATAGGGCCAGCTAATTATACCCCCAGAGAGAAATGTATAGACAAATTCTGATTTGTATTGACGGGCAGTGGGCACCCAAAGCCACCTAGTTTGGCATGTCATATTCCAGTGGAAGTCTGGGAGCTCTTTTCCAGATTTTGTTTGCTGGTCTTCAGTGACAGCTTGCACACAATCTAGCAGCTGACTCTCTGTGCAACTGACTTTCAGTCTCCGTTGCAAAAATTGAGGAATCAACCAAATGAAAGGGCTTCCAGTAACAATCTTATTTCAGCTGAAATGCTTAAATCCAATGCTGATGTGAGGGGAGCCATTTCTGGCACTGCTATTTACCTTTATTGTAAAAACAGTCCAATTTTTAAACTATTGAAGCATAAGCAGTCTTTATTTGCATTATAGAATAAATTGTATGATAAACATAAGAACTCAACAATTCACAGTTATCCAAGTTATGCAAAAATAAAATGTTGAAGATAAAGTTTTGGTCAACTTTTTAGCCCCACTGGAAATCTAGCAAAATTGTAGCCTAGTGATACTATTATATTCCCCATTTGGCCTTAGGAAAGCCTTGAAGGTCCAGTATTGCCTTCAATGCTTAGCCTGTAATTAAATAACCAGAGTCAAAGATTATGGTCTTCACTGAAAGACTGAGGACATACAAGTGGTAGTGTTAATGAACAGGCTAATTGCTTTAAGTACCTATGAATAGATATTCATAGGAAAAAATAGGTGCTGGCTGGCTGCTGAATTTCACTGCCTAAAGAAATTTTCATTGCAAGAAAAGAACCAAGCTCAGAGAACCCCAAAGACTCCACAGTTCAACCCTGAGCTACACATATTTGCCTCTATTGTTACCTGGACAGTTATCCTGAGATATATTTTTTTTTTAATAGACAAGGAGACAGGATTGTCACAGTGGCCCTGAAGCCCTTTGTGGTCAAATTGCTGGGCCAGATATTTTATGGAGCTCAATTAGACCTAGATGCAAAGTCCAACTTTGCCTCAGTTGAGTGTATATAACCCATATTTTCAAGAGCTCTGTTTCAAGCAACAGGATGTATGCCTTACGCTGTAGTTTGGCTGGAGTCAAAACTATTGAGAGTTGATGGAAGAGTAAGGCTTTTCATGTTCGGGTACTGGTGGAAATTATAATTTTATCCATCAGTTCTAGCCTCTTCTACTTCAATCAACTTGGGAAAATAAAATTCATACAAAAATACTATCATAAGGATTATCACCAATGCTTTTGTTATCTTGCCATATGAAAGACTAAACAGCTCCTTGTATCCCAGATGTGTAACTGCAAATTACCTATGCACCCAGTCAGTCTGTTAGTTAAGACCCTGTCTCTGTCTGAATATTCTTAGCATTCTCTAAGGCCAGTACTATTATCTTTCTATCTGCTCTGTTAGAGGGCAATTCAGCAATATAGCATTATGTGTTTGCCCTTGAAGACTGTGCCCAGAATTATTGGACACATCCTCTTTTATTTTTTCTTCATTAAGGTTCTCCATGAAGAATTGTTATTTATTTTATTTATTTATTAAATTTTTACACTGCTCATCTCCCAGCAATTCTGGGCAGTTCACAAATAAAAAATACAAAAAACAATAAAACAGTACAATAATAAAAGCAAGGAACAAAAGATGGTGAAAGCCAGGCAACAACCAAAAGCAAACCCACATTACCTAGAAGGGAGCTTCAGTTACCCTTGCCCAAGGCCTGGGCAAAAAAACAGGTCTTCAGGACCCTCTGAAATACTAGCGGGGGGGGGGCATCCAGACCTCGGTGGGAACCTCAGTTTATTTCACTTCTACAACATTTTCCACTCAGAAGCTTGTGATGTTTCTTTCCTCTTATCAGATAACAGATACATAACAAAATAGTCGAATTCTGGGTTTGTGTTTGTAGAATCCATTAGAATTTTCTAATGGAATCTCTGTCTCATTTGTAAATGGGATATTTGTATTATACTTCTGTTACATTTTAAATATGTCTCATGAGGCATGAAAGATGTTTGGACTGTAATAGTTATATTGTGGGGCTCCTCAAATAGCAGTTAACATTGCAAGAGCTGAGTTGTTCTTTTGAAATAGCGACTTGGAAAAGCTGCAGAACAAATCTACAGGGATACATTTTTCAGCCGTCTATGAGTTTAGCCTAAAACTTACACATGATAAAAGAGGTTTTTGTTCAGCCTTAGCAAGTCTCTGTGTATTATTCCTTCTGGTTTGTTTGTTTGTTTTAATCAAAGTATAAGCCTGAACGTGTGTATTTAGTATAAGTCCAATTCCACTGAGCAGAAGTTACTCCCAGATAAATCCAGAGAATCTGTTCCAATCTGGCGGCAGGCCTGGTGTTCAACAATTGCTGCCTTGACCAGCCCCTGAGATCAGTTGTATCAGGAAACAGGCAGGGAGGGTGAGATTCAGTTGCTCCTCTTAGAACCTGCAGTAGCTTTCCTCTACCCTGCATTACGGTATCTTCTTAAACAGGCTGAGTTCTGGGCTGAGTACTGGAGCTGCTGCTTAGTAGTCAGTCTATTCCTATTGGATGGCTAATTCCAGAACACGGTGCGGTTGGCCTATTGTTATGTCTCTCCCCAGTGTCTGCATGAAACCACTAGGATATGTTTTGTTGCATATTTTTAATGGGCTGGCAGTAGAAAGGATGAAAAAAAAATGCTGATGTTCAAATCCATTTGAACATCAGCATTTGGCAAGATGGTAAGCAAAGCAATATGTGATATTGAGTTGGTATAATAAGGATATTGCCCTAATGTGTGTATGAAGATTTTTATTATGAATGCATTGTTTTTCTGAATATTTTAATGTTGCTTTTGGCAAAAGCTATAAGAAAATATTAAGGTTTAATTATGATTATAGGAAGATGTCCAACCATTAATGTATTTAATCTTAGAAATACAACAAGGCTTGAGACAGCCCAAGGCAATGTGATGAAGCTTCTGGAGATTTCCTCTTTCTCTTTATTGCTGGTGATGGAGAATCAATCAATCATAGTAGAAGTAATATACTAATTTAAAATAAATTCTCAGAGTGTGAATAGCAAGCAGCTGAGCCAATCAGGTGCCACTTTTGGGGGGCATATGGCCACCGAGGATTGGAAGAGGGTAGGTCTGTAACTCTTCCAATATATAGTGGTACCTCGGGTCACAAATGCTTCTGTTCATGACCAGTTTGGGTCACGAACTGCATCGTTCGCAAAATTTTGCTTCCGTCTGCGAACTCCGCATCAGGTGACGAACAGGATCCGCGGCCATTTTCCCTGCTGTGACATGTGGTCGTGGCTTCCT